ACACACACACACACACACACACACACACACACACACACACACACACGCGTGCACACCACATTCATTCATGTATTCATCTCCTGACACATGTAAAGTAGCTACAGGCGAGCTTGTTTCAAGAAGCTACGACATGCAATGTGACTTTCTTCCAAATGGAAGCATGCGCATTATTTACATTAATGACTTCGCATTCAAACTCATCTGAATTCATGTCCTGAAAACTTGCTACTTAAATATGTGCACTCGCCGGTCACAATAGGAACACCTGCACAAACCAATGTGATTCAGCACAGACGGTCGGATAAACAAAACATACAAATGTCTTGTTTTTGGTGTGTGTCAAAGTAGATTTATTGTAGATTATTATGAGAAAAAGTATCCATACACACTGGGTATTTACTGTATATAAAAGTACCAGGATAGTCTTGCAAGATGTACTGCATGACTTAAAATGTCAAAGCGTAAAATACAATGTCTTTATTACAGTCTGTTTTTTTTTCTTTCATTTTAAAGGGGAAGTAAAAAAAAAAAAAGGTTCTATGTGCCCCTAGTGGCAACCCGGTGTCCTGTGTGGAGTTTGCATGTTCTCCCCGTGCCTGCGTGGGTTTTCTCCAGGTACTCCGGTTTCCTCCCACGTTCCAAAAACATGCATGACAGGCTGATTGAACGCTCAAAATTGTTCCTATTGTATGAGTGTGAGCGCGGATGGTTGTTCATCTTCTTTCCTCCAGTTCCACCGCTAGCTCTGACTTGCCACCCGCCAACAGCGGCGCTCGGTGCAGGAGAGCCATCCCCACTAGCAAAATACATTCATTCCACCTGTTGCAATCAAAGACGCAGTCACGCTTTGCCCCTTTGTGCTTCTTCAGACTGTAAATTGTCGCAATCCCTGCGGAGGTCTCTGCGTGCTCATGTGCTGTCTCGTTAGTGTCTGAGCTGTGAGTCCTTCCCATGAGAGTCTGACTTTGTCCCTGTGAGGGTACGGCCACAAAAGAAAAAGACACCAAGTGAAAAAAAGTGTTTTCTCAACTCCACTGCCACAACCTTGATATTTATAATGGCTTGCCAGGTTATCGCTCTGTCTCCCACTGAATGTTCTGAACTCCTATTTTGATGCTGGTGTCATACTCCGCAGAATCCTGCACAGCTCAACTTCCGACAGCTGACCCGCAAACTTGTTGAAGTGGAATGAACAGCACCACCACATTTTTTCAATTCAGTCATTTAATGAATGAATCGACTGATTCGTATGCCCATGCCTGATGAAAAACAAGGGCCATTTTTTTTTTTTTTTTTTTGGAGCACGCACAAACAAACACTCATCATCATATCCGGCGGATGCTAATACCCGCCTTGATTTACGATGTGAGACAAGTCGGATTTTGGAGCCAGTCAATGGTTGTCATGAAAAAAAAAAAAAAAAAAAAAAAAAAACCGAGGTGACTGTTGGAGCTATTTTGATGCGGTTCACATATTGTTTACATCACACGCCCTCCTGTCATGTCCTATTTCCCGTATGCCTCCGAGTATGTGTGTGTGTGGGGGGGGGGTGAGAGAGAGAGAAAGAGAGAGAGAGAGGGTGTATACGGAGAGCTGTCTCCCTGACGTCCCATCATCCCAAATAATCATCCCACAGTCATGCGTGAGATGCAATTTCCTTTAAACAATAGCAGGCTGGCTCGCCTCGCTGACCCTCAACCTCTCAGGCTGTGGGAGAACAAAGACTCACACACACACACACACACACACACACACACACACACACACACACACACACACACACACACACACACATCCACTCGGCTCACGTTAACAGCAACACGTGTGGGGGCAAGGATGAGCATTTTGTCCAAGCGCAGTGGCGGTGACACAATCTCTTGCCGCTCAAGTCCAATAATTATAGGGACCATGTGGTCAACATAGTTTAACATAGCTAATGGTTAGCGGGTGAGACAAATCAATCAGTCCTTTTACTGAGAAGAAAAAAAAAAGTGAAATGATGCTGCATAACCCGGTGTTTGTCCTTAAGAGAAATGTTGGCAGAGTTTTGGCTGGCCTACTTTGAATGCCGTGATAATTCAGGTGGCTCCTGTTGGGCACGCCAATCACAATCCAGCCCGGCAGTGGGTTGTCTGTTCACATTTGTGCTAATGCCGCGCCGCATTCATTTGCTTCAAATACTTCCCGATGACTGTAATGATGCTCTTATTCTGTCTCCTTTTTGCGCCAAGCGCTCTGTCCTCCAGTGTGCCTGGCGGTGTCAGCGTCCAAATTTAACATTCATGACACCACACTGACAATTTCAATTCCTCAGAGCTTTTTTTTTTTTTTTTAGCACTGTGTCAACATACTTGAATTGTGTGTGAATAACTCGGCGAACGTTGTTATGGCAGGATTTGAAAATGAAGGCGGACCTGCGCCAAGGCGAAACTGTTGACCGGGGTTAAATATATGGTGTATTGATGTATAAAACCGCTACGGCGGTATGAATGAAATGAAATGCTTCGCCTGACACAGTTTAATTTAAAGTGATTTCTTGCATGGGGACATTTATGCAAATCCTCACTAAACTCTTATGAGCTGGAAGATGGTGGTGACAAAAATATGTCCAACTGGACCAGGTCAAATGTTTGGAAGGACCAAAAAAAAAAATTATCGTGGTAAGTTTGCAATTTTAAACAAATGTTTACATTGTGTGCTCTATAAAGCGTTGCAATTGGATGATTAAGAGACTCGACGGGTGAGGCCCCGCTGCAGAGACATGCTTCTAGCACATGTTGGGAAATGACAGCTCACACAAGTCGCCCTGTTGCTTCCATCATGTGTGATCTCTTGGGCAACAGGCAATAAGACCAAGGCAATATGATGGATGTAAATGGAACGTTCATTCGACACTCTGTGCAGACATTCCATCTTGCTTCATGCACGGAGTCGACCCATGTACCAAACAGAGTCCCTTTATTCCTTTAAACCACAAGTGCCCTCAATTTGCACTTGAATAACTTAACATTCACAGAGCTGCAGAGATCCAGCACACTAAATCCGATCAAGTACATTATGTGATCATGCATAGTGATATCTCAGAACGATCATCGTACGTTTAGAAATGACTCAACGTGGCATCTTCTATTTTAAAGGTCTGAGCCTGCAAGGCAAATGTGAACATAAAGTCAGCCAGTTCCACATTTTATGCAACTAATATATTCATACATGTGAAGATAAAGGCTGTTTTTATGATGAGCTGAAAGCACAGTAGTGAGACACATATTTAAAATGACTTGTCTTGAAAATTGTAAAATACAATTCTCACCCTTTTATCATCTAGGCCAGGGGTAGGCACAGTAATGTGTGCGGCCCACCAACCAGTTATATCACATTTATATCGCATTATTTTCGTGTACAGTGGTGTACTCGCTACTTCGCGGTTCACTTTTCACGGTTTCAGTGCATCACAGATTTTTCAAAAGCATTCATCCCAAAAAAAAAAAGTGAAAATGACGCAAAGGGTCCGCAAAAGGCAGCAAAAGTCAGCAAAACAACAGCGAGTCACATAGAGCAACATATACAGTAATACATGTATATGTTTACTGTATTTTGTTATTTATACACTAACCTAACCTAACTTATACATACACACACACACACATAAATATTATATATTAGTATATAGCATTAGGTAATATTAATTGCTACGAACATTTACTTCTACATGCATGTATACCATTAAATTTGGCCTTATATATATTATATATACTCCTACACATGTACATATACTTGTACGGGGGCTGGGGGGTGGGGGTACCTACTTCGCGGATTTTCCTCTTTCACGGGTGGTCTCGATCCCCATTAACCACGATAAGTGAGGGATCCCTATATTCCCCTCAAAAGTGTTTTTGAGCACACGTGTGCCAACTCCTTGGTCTTAACTGTGAAATGGTCACTTTCACAAAGGAGAAAACAAACAAGCTTTAAAAAAATCGACTTAAAAGGTGAGCTTTCGTTCTTACAGCCTTGAAATGAAATGCTACGTAGCTTTCGAAAGTGTCTTCCTGTTTAGTACTTTGAGACGAAGGACGCGAGGGAATGACAACTTCATATTGGAACGTGTCCTGCGCACACACTCTCGTAGCTGCTCTTTTCTCTTTCCCTCTGCAAGCTAGCGAGTTGTTCCACCCGCGATAAAAACAAACAACCGATCTAATGTTCTCCCCTGTATTATTTCGTTTGGTGTCAGCGATCAAGCTTTACCTGCTCGGCTTGAAGGTTCTTGTGATTCAGCTGTTCAGCAAACGCTTTGAGTTGCCAGGTTGGTTCAGTCTTGTTTCCGGTCCGTGTTTGACAGTTCGCTTCCTCTTGCAGCAGCACACTCAGTGACCTTGGTACGTGGTCTAATTTGCTTTTTACTGCATAATGTTCACGCCGAATTTAAGGGAAAGGCGAACCATTTGGGAGAGTTATGAATAAATGATCCGCGGCCGTGTCGGTCTTTGTTTTCGCTTCAGGTAAAGTTTAAATGATCTGTTTTCACGATGCAGGTTGGTTTGAAATAGAGCACAAGACGCCCATTGGTTGCCAGTCAATTAGCTCTCAACCAATCACCACAAAGCACAATTAAACCCACGAGGAGCGCATCGCTTTACTACTGAGTTCCGTTCATACGACACCGACGCAACAGATTTGGATTAAGAAAAGGTTTATGATGATTTTTTTTTTTTCATACCAGGTGGAAAGTTCATGTATTGCCACTGATTTTTGACCAGTCCAGTATGCCGCTTCTTGCCCCAAGTCAGCCGCGACAGGCTCCAGCCTACTCATGACCCGAATGAGGAAGCACTATAAAAAAATGTACGGATGAATATTTTAACAACCACAAATGACTGCCGCATATTTAACGACAGTCAACCCGCATGCCTTTGAACGGTTCTAAAATGTATATAAATGTCTTCCTTATCTCATGACGTTCCATCTGATAACTGTGTGTCCTCTTCTGCCTCTGCCAGCGATGCCCCGACAAGATGGCAAGGTTGCCATAGTGACGGGAGGAGGCAGGGGAATCGGCTATGAGGTCGCCCGCCACATGGCCAAACTGGGGGCACGCGTTATCATAGGTACAGTATTATATTGCACTTTGCCGCCGTGTAAACAGCATGACTACGGCAGATAACCGCATAAACACACATTTGACAGAGCGGCATCAGATATTGGTGTCCGGCTTTTAACATTCAACTTTGCAACATCATTTACTAAGCAGTAACAATAGCAGTAAATCATAACCGGAAGAGTGCTTTTTCACCAATCATAATATGTTTTAGAATTAGTAAAAGACACAATTTTATTATAAATCCAACAACAGCAATAAATCAAAGTGCCAGGGGGCGGGGGGGAAGGTTTTGTTTCATAAAATGGTATGCGTGAGTGTCAAGTAGATGGTGGCAGTGTCCTTGTCCGCTCATTTTCTTGACTCACATATCCTTTCATCTGCTTTTGCTTAAATGCCATCATTTAGAAATGTGAGTCAGAATACCCCATCCTTTTACTCTTGTACCTCGGGGGAGGTTTTGGAAAGATTTTTTATTATTTTTTTTCCGAGGTCCAATCTGCAGAGGGCATGCCATTAAACTCTATTTAACTAAATGACCCATAATATTCAGTTTTACATTCTGAAAATATTATAGAGCCACTCACAAATAAGATGTTGCATCTCAAGGAAATAGCAGAGCAATAACAGAGGACAATAGTCTTCAGGGTGTAGAAAACAGTCCCCAGAAAGCCAGTTGGTTTAACACTTTTATGTTCCCCGAGGGTTGGCTGTTATCGAAAGTCTATTTTCCCACAAATAGGTCTTTTTTCTTTAAAGACCAGCTTCGGTCGCAACTATCCGTCTCTTTTCTTTCGGCCCCGTTTGTCGGCTTCCAATGGCAGAAAGCTCGTACCCTCTGTTTTGTTGTGGTGTCCAGCATAGTAATTCTCCGCAGAGGATAGCCCAAATCGCTTAAAGGCTGCCATGAAACTCGTTGCAGCAGGCTTTTGTTTCAATATGACTCTTCTTTAGCCAGCAAATCTGATGAGAATTAGCGGCGCACTCCACGTTTCAGTTAATTCTCGTACATACATACATAGGTAAGCATAGTCTTCCACGCAGGCACGGGCAGAACATGCAAACTCCACACAGGAAGGCCGGAGCTGGAATTGAACCCACAACCTCTGCGCTGTGAGGTCAACGCGCTAACCACTGGACCACCCGCCATCAAAGATTACCTTGATTGTCTGTATGCGTTATTCCACATTAACATCAAGTTTGATTTTACTCCGGATATTGATGTCTCTTCTCTTGCTGTGTTTAGAAAAAAATATAACAATATCACCCCCCCCCCAAAAAAAAGATGGTGACAGTCCAAACAGCCGCCACTTTACATTTTTTGCATTCTGTGTCAATATTTGAAGTGAATAAAGTAACACTGAATAATGCACACTGAAAACGAATCTGATAATCTATCAAATGGCCTTGTAAAAAAAACGGGCTGTTGTATTGTGCATTTATTTTATGATGTCCTCCTCTAACCGATACACAGATGTCCTTCTCTTCATATCCTCCACACTATTCCCTCGATCCCCACCCATCAGCATTAGGAAGTGTTAACACCGCCGGTGGAGTATTTCATCCATAATTAATCGTTTGCCAGCGACAGTAAATCCCAGGTTGCTTTCAACAGGCTGTCATTCACTCTCAAGAACGCGAAAAAAGGGACAGCGTGACACGTGTGCTGTCTTTTGAGGAAACGTTTTAGAAGAATCAAGAAATTCGAGTTAGGTTTTAGGATGAGCGGAAGTGGAATCTTCCTTCCTTCTTGTCTCAAGTTTTCCAAAAAAAAAAACTTTGGTGCACTCCGTATAAAACCGACATGATTTGAGAATTGGTAATCTGCGTTCATCCCAGCACCGTGCACACAATTTTGAGATGAATCATGTGGGATCTTCACAGTTCAAAAATGTTGTTGCTCCTTAGCTCTCTTCACATCACAAGGTTAATTCAACATTTTCCATTCCAATCTCAAGCGTGAAAACAAAATAAATTATGCAACAATCTAATTGTAACATGTATGTTCGATATTTTGATGCATTTTTATGCTTTAGGAAACATTTATGTCTGAAATTTTTTTGGGGGGGAGCATGGAACGGATTAGGGCATTTACATGGAAAACGCGCCTCTGCTTACAAATTTCTAGTTCAAAAATTTCTTTCAGAACTAATTAATTTCGGAAGTAGAGGTACCACTGTAAACATCATTAATAGAATGACAAGATGATGATTTTGATGATGAACTCATTCTGTTTTTTTTTTTAAATGAGGATACAAAAGCTAATGCGTACAGTGACATGTTGTTGGCGCGAAAGTTTCGCAGAGAGACTTTCTTCATCAGTGCTACGATAGAATACATTCCGACTACAGGTACAACGCTGCGTGTGTGGTTTTGTATATCACAGTCACACACACACACACACACACACCCCAAAAATCTCATCTCGCGGTAAACAAATTTCAATCATCTGACCTGATGGAAATCTGTGAACACTCAAGCTGCCGTGTGAGTGTTTTGTGCACGTTGACGTCGGAAATAGCAAGTCACCTATTTTCAGTAATGAAACAATCGTTGCAAGCAATGAGAAATGACCTTCTTCGTGTACGGAGAGTAAGTACGCACAAGGATCAACCTCCGGATGCGCCACATCCTCTCAGTCGTGGATTGATTTGGCAAAACCAAAGGCGTATAATTCACGACGCGTATTGAGAACGCTCTTTGAGGAAACGCTTAGTCCCCGCGAGTTAGTTCAGTTGTCCTTTTCCACGTGCAGTTTTTAGATCTTCTTCTTAACTCTCTTGGATTAGTCCTCCATGTCAGGGAAAGAACTCCTATTTTGAAAACTGTATCCATATCCACAAAAAGAGTTCTTTTTTTTTTTTTTTTGAGCATGTGTGAAATTTTCTAGCGTTATTTCTCATCGAAATCCTTTTTATTCAATTTGGAGTTATTGCAAGAGTTAGTTTGCTTTTGCGCGTGAATTTAGTGAGACAGCAACAGTGCATCAGGCTAAATGATGCCGTGCCCTTGAAAAGGCCTGCGTGATCATCCAAGATTAGCGTGTCTGTGAGAGCTTTTATGCTCCGTCTAGGTGGAAATGAAAAATCACGATCGTTTTTTTTTGATAGTTTTTTTTCCCTCATTCTCCCAAATAAAATGAGTGTGCAGTGAAACTACGCAACGTGGATCTAGGAAGAGAACAGAATATATGAAGAATTGAGTACGTATGGGCTGAAAATGGCCTGTTGAGTTCTGTCCAAAACACACGAAACGACAAGTCATGTCAAGTGAGGGTCCGTTTGAAAATATCAGGAACGTCTCAGTAATATTGCCGTTCATATGCAGAGTGTCTCTCTAAATGACGGTCGCGAGGGGTGTGTCTTTGACCAGGGAGTATCAGTGGGTGTTGAAAAGCAAAGTGGAATCTTTAATGTGTTGGAAACATACGTGCTACAGTCAGTAAAGTGAAGGGGTTACCTTCCTACCTTGTACATAGTTTACTTCCCGCATTGTGATTAAAAAAAAAAAAACATTTTAAAAGTGTTTTTGTTCATTCAATTGTGTCCTTTTTCTCTTCTCAGGTTGTCGGGACGAACAACAGGGTCTGGCAGCCGTCGGAAAGATCCACGAAGAGTACAACGCGGCTAAAGGTGAATCCGTGCGCGTGTCTGTGAATAGTAACATGAACACTTAAGACCGTTTCCCCATAGATGGCGGCCGCTTGCGGGCGTCAACGCACACAGAGAGCTTTTACACCGACAGGGGGTGTGTCTTTGACCAGGGAGTATCTGTGGGTGTTGAAAAGCAAAATGGAATCTTTAATGTGTTGGAAACGTAAGTGCTACAGTCACTAAAGTGAAGGGGTTACCTTCGTACCTTGTATATAGTTTACTTCCCGCATTGTGATAAAAAAAACAAAACATTTTAAACGTGTTTTTGTTCATTCGATTGTGTCCTTTTTCTCTTCTCAGGTTGTCGGGACGAACAACAGGGTCTGGCAGCCGTCGGAAAGATCCACGAAGAGTACAACGCGGCTAAAGGTGAATCCGTGCGCGTGTCTGTGAATAGTAACATGAACACTTAAGACCGTTTCCCCATAGATGGCGGCCGCTTGCGGGCGTCAACGCACACAGAGAGCTTTTACACCGACATGATTGGCAAATGATACCCAATTGCTCTTGGAGGGGAGAAGACAAGACGGTGAAATGGGGGGAAAAAGGAATGGAAAGCAAATATGGGGGGAGATCAAATGTGCAGAATAGGCGACAGTGATCCGCAGCGACTGCGCACGGCTATGCATTTTCACTGGGTTGCGTGATGAGGCTATGTACTGTCTCACCCTGATTTGGACAATTAGCTAAACTCATCTTCTGCACCACGACTCTGAAGACGTTATTCTTGCTCCACAGGTTTAATGATGCAGGAAAAAGGTGAAACTGTAACATACAGTACAAGGCAATATTACGTTCAATTCACAACCAACAAAATAAGCTAACATGACCCCAACCGTCATAGTAGCGAAACATCATTGCGCTAACGCAATTAGCAAACGCTAGCATAGCTTTAACATTTTTTTATGCATGTCGCGGAACAGCATTTTCTGAAATAAAGCGTCACAGAACGGTTCATCGATAACAACACAACTTGTACATACCCGCGATGCTACCAAAGTCGTAAGATGTGTGTGGATTAGAATTCGACTCCCATCACGTTTCTCTCACTGACGATCTATCGCTTCTACTTCCTGCTTCCTCGTACGCGATTTCTGATTTGATGACGCCATTTCCGGCTGCGAACTTCGCTGCTCTACAATGAAACCAATAAAGTTAAGTTGCATAAAAAATACTCTCAACTATCCGTAGAAATATTAACGTTACTTTAGTGTAACTTAAATGCAACATTCGAACTTAAATTGCAGACAGAACACTGTCGCTTCAAAGGGCCTTAACTCTTTACCACTCTCCAAAGGATTTTTCGCCGTCTATATTTTTAAACATCCTGAAATTGCATTATACCCCGCCCCCCCCCCTCCCCCCAGCTGCAACCTGCCTTAGCTGGCACCGGAGCGAGAGCAGCTGAAGACCAGTTGGCCGCGGTCCGACTCGCGTGTCGGTGGCTGTCAAGCCCAGCGACAGCAGCCATGTCGCCGGTGTCATTGAAGTCGATTTTCTCGAAACGAGGCTGCGGCGGGATTGATCACTTCTTTTTGTAATTGGCAGGCGCTGAAGCATTAGGGACAAGGGGAGGGTGACTGCTGCCAGATGCTTGTGCACCGGATGAAAATGTGTGTATGTTTGTGGTTGAATGAGCCAGTAATGGATTCTCATTAGTATGTGTGGCGGCACACTTTAACATCTCTGTCCAAACTCCCTTTGGCACGCTTCCGAGTATTTGCACCAAATATATTGGCCCTGATGAAATTAGTCTGATAAAAGAATGATCCTTCATCTCTTTAAGGGGTGAAGCTACTTCCACATTTGTCGTTTTTACTCTAAACCTGAAAATTAAAAAATAGTCCCAGCCCCTGTGAGTGTTATATCACAAAAGGAAGCCGAAACGTGCACATTTGTGTGACCTTGGCGACTATCTTTGTAGCTATTGGGAGGGGGGCGGGGGGTCGGATTGCCTTTTGCTGTGTTGCCTTGTGATTGGATGGCAAACAGTCCACATCAGGGGTCACCAACCTTTTTGAAAGTGACCGCGACTTCTGCACTGGTGGTAGCATATTTTCATTCTAAATCATCAAAACATGATTATCAGGCTTCTGCAGAACTTGCTGATGAGTTGATTGTTTGAATCTGGTGCGCTGGAGGAGGGGAAACATCCACAACATGCAAGATAGTTGACCCCGAGGACCGCAGTTGCCAACCCCTGAAGCTTTTGAATGAACGACCTTGTGTCACCTTTGGGTCACATGGGTCTGGCCCTCGTTCAAAAATAAATAAATAAATAAGATACTGAGCTATATAGCATTTTCGTTTAAATCATTCACACACACACACACACACACACACACACACACACACACACACACACACACACACACACACACACACACACACACACACACACACACAAAGGCACACACACATTTGCAGGCTAGACACAGATACAAGGTATTTATGCATGCTTGCCACAGGCAACTCTGGATGTCCACTAATTTTAGTCACGCTGCACTTGAAAGTTACACAATCCGCCTCAAACCAAAAGCTTGGATTAAAAAGGAAACTAACGCGCGTCCGTCTATATGTGAGTATGTGCGTGTGCGCGCGCCTGTGACGAGTTATGTCTCTGCGTAAGCAGCGTTCAGTGAGCATCTGTAAGAATCACGCTACAAGTAAGTTTTTCTTCTTTGGCTTCGGAATTTTAACCCTTTCGTGCACAAATAATGATAATTTGTAATCTGATAATTTGATAAGCTGTCCACTGCAGTAACCGCTGTCCCCGAAAGGTTTAAGTACAATTGACATAAACAGTTCCAAATATTTTGACATTTGAGTTTCAGGAAGGGCAGTGCAGAGGTTCAATTCCAGCTCCGGCCTCCCTGTGTGGGTTTTTTTTCCGGGTACTCCGGTTCCCTCCCACATTCCAAAAACATGCATGGCAGGCTTATTGAACACTCTCAATTGTCCCTAGGTGTGAGTGTGAGCATGGATGGTTGTTCGTCTCTGTGTGCCCTGCGATTGGCTGGCAACCAGTTCAGGGTGTTTCCTGCCTACTCCCAAAGACAGCTGGGACAGGCTCCAGCACCCCCCCGCGACCCTTGTGAGGATAAGCAGATCGGAAAATAGACGGATGGAAGTTTCCGGAAAAAATAACACCGCACCCATTTGATGGCTTGAATCAATTTGCATTTCCATTAATAAAATATTCCGAAATACTTTGAAGGTTGATCAGTATCCCGCGGCGGACTGTGCAACTTTAGCAGTCATCCATGCGTTGAATGACTCTCATTTTTCAATACACGAAGAGTTGTGCTCGCCAACAAGTAGTGGCAACCGAAAGACACAACCGTTCTTGATTGAGGAGACTGTCATTGCATTAGCGCTGCAAGCTGGCGCTGACCGTCATGCAGCCCGCCTCCTGTCTGCTACATCCGCTGAATAATAACAGCCAGTGGAGGAGTGAATGCTGGCTTGCTGCCCAGACCAAATATTCTTGATGATCGCGGCGTTGTTTATCAGACATCTCTAAGTGAAACAATTTACTTCCTTGTCTGAGAGGTGCTCTCAGAAGGGAGCTATAAGTTCACCGTTTTCTACCGTTCAATCATAGTGATCAATCAAGGCCATCACGGGTGACTATATCTCAATATTGCATCGTCGTGAAAGGCGTGACCCAAACAGACGCGCTACTCGACAGCATCTCCATGTGCTTAACGTCTTGCCTGGAAGCATGCGTTTGGAATGTCAAATCAGCAGCAGGACAAACGCGATGTGTTTACCGGCAGCGCATTTTAATATCAGCTTTAAATGTAATCCAGCTTAATCATATTTGCTGCAGCCACCACCGGGGCACAAGATGCATTTTGAAGCCAGGTGGATTTATGCTAAGTGACGCCGGCGCGGTCGTCCATCATCCTTTCCCCCGTCGATCTGCGAAAGTTATTTCATCTTCCGCAGGGGCGCCGAAGACATTTGACAGGTGCGGCAAGATGAAAGCCTCAAATTGAACTCTAATAAGGTTTTGGTGGAAGCCAACATTCATATTAATTACCGGCTGTTCAGGGTAGATTACTCTGGATGTGTCCAGGTATTCCTGGCAGGTTGTGTCAAAAAGTGGAACAGCTGAGCTTGTAAAAACAAGATTTTGATTCAAATTTGCTGTCCGTCACTCAAGAATTGAAAATTGCTCCAGTGGTTCAAAAAGTCATTTTTATTTCATCCCAGCATGTGTTTTAGGAACTGTAATGTCATGTATAGCTGCGTTATTTACTTGAGATGGCCAATCGAAAGATTTCACCATATCGGTTCAAGTGTGCCAATGAGAAATTTTCTTTCTGGCATTTTTTTTTTTAAACCCTTTGTTCACTAAACGCTCCAGTGAAATCGAATAAAAAAAATTAAATAAATCTCAGATGTACTATTTTGGAAACTGACTCACAGATTGATGAGTTTATCTTTGGCAGACATCAGCATGATGCTGCTATCGGCCCAAGTCATCTGCTACATCCCTGATTGTCTTGCTTTGCCTATTCCAATTTGTAAATGTTGAGAACTTCTTTTACTTTTCAGTTTGATTAATTCAGGGGGTGTGATCTTATCATGCGGTTATAGCATATGAGCCTGTCTATCATCCCCCCCTCCCCGCCAACCCTCCCATTTCGGTCCATACTAATCCAATGTAATATATAATGGCAGATGAAAAAGCTGCTTTTTATTCAATGCTATATAATTTTTGGACCTATTTCAAAATGTAGCACACGTTTCCAGGTAGTGTCGAGGTGACTTTGAGCTTTAAAGACTTCACTCTATGTAGACAACGATGGAGTGAGCCCTCTTTCTTAGACTCATAATTTTCATGGCTTACCCTTGAGATGTCCACACGAGCATCAAAATTGCCAAGGGAAAAAAAAATTACACGGTCGTTATCAGTCATGGGAATAGATAGCCGTCCTGCGCAATCATCAACTAATAGAGCTTCAAGATAATCATTGGAGTCATTGTAAGGCAGTTTTTTTTGGGGGGGGGGGGGGGGAGAAAGATTAAGACGTGCTGAGTCAGCGAGAGCATGCAAACGGGGGGTGGTTTTCATCTAGCCAAGAGTTAATGGTGAATTACTGTGCTTTAATGATTTTTTAAAAATGGATCGTTGAAACTGGAAAAAAGAAATCAGCTTTGGAACAACTTCATCAAAAATACCACCCACCATTAAATATTGAATTGGAAATGGGCTTTTTTTTTTTTTTTAACACAGCCACAAATCTGTCGACAGTGCAAAAGTCAGTTCCTAAAACTTTCACTTCACCTTCACTTCTGGAAGATGCAAACGTATTCCTGATTGTTTCTGCATGCATGTGCTTCCCCCGATCCCCCCCAAAAAAAAAATACAGCGAAAACTAGCTTATATGATTGACATGCAGACACCGCGGTCAATGACAGAATGGCTGCTCGGCAATGCGGTGACATCAGACGGACCCAAAGAATTTTATGCTCCAAGAAAGACGTCCCCACCGTAGTTTATGTGCATCAGTGCGGTTCAAAAGAGGTGGTGAGATTTTTAGATTCAAATTTCAGTTGCGTTGTCGGTTTTAAATTATTCCTTTTGATTTAAAAAAAAAAAAAAAAAGAAGAAGAGTGCCAAGCTGCAGTGTCGAGGAAGCTGAGGATCTTCGGAGATCTAGGAGGGAATTAAAAGCTGGCTGACACCAGCAAGGCCCGTTCAAATCGATGCCATTTTGCTCCCGGTGGGCTCTCTAGATATGACTGGCTTGTCTTGACAGGGGTCCTTGGAGAGGCCAAATGAAGGGGACAGGGGAGCACTGACAGACGGCGCGCGTACACACACGCGCACACACACACATATTTGCTCTCACCTGGGAGGATCATATTTTGAAGTTCTTTTGAAGACTGGCTCTTCTTTTTTAGGTGTTTATATGTCTGTAGTGGCAATGGTTTCCCTGGAAAAAAAACACTTTTGTTTTTGCTTCCTAGATACCAATAGTCACTTTGCACATTAACTAATGCAATGACATAGTTACATACGTACTTGAACGACGTTCAGTCTTAATGTTGGACTTCAGAGCAGACCAGTTGTGATCAAGTCAACGCCTGAAGGAAACGCAAAGGATGCTTTGGAAACCAGTAAGGTGAATCTGCCCCACGTCATTATTTACTGTACATTCTTCTATTTTTGCACAGATTTGAGTTGATCCCACACTGACGATAACCGTTCCGTAGTCACTCCGTATGAACCCCGTGCCGTATCAAACCTTAAACCCCATCTAATAGTGTGTCACACTGTGATAGGAACACGTCTTAGATTTCCATGTAAAGTGGCCATGCGACGACGGCTGCTGTAAGCTGCCCCGTATTGTCGCATGCGATGCCGCTGAGGCTGCTGTAAGAGATGATTAAAACTCTTTGATGTCTTACCAGCGAAATGCTTAGCAGAAATAATCCGTTTGCAATGGCCCTCATGTATGTGCCTCTCTTTGTGTGTGTGTGTGTGTGTGTGTGTGTGTGTGTGTGTGTGTGTGTGTGTGGGTGTGTGTGTGTGTGTTCTCTCTAGTGGAGTTCAAAAAACTGGACCTAGCGTCTCTGCAGTCTGTCCGTCAATTCGTCCAGAGCTTCAAGGAGCGTGACTTACCACTCAATATCTTGGTCAATAATGGTGGGTGTCGTCGATGATGTAACGCACGCCTTTGACACCTCATTAGGTACCGCTGGAATTCAAAGTGAGAAGAGTTCCCTTTACGAAAGCAGCTTGAATGTCACTCGGTAGATTCAAGACAATACGGGCGGCGTCGGTCTTGGTCTGAATTACACTTCACTTGCAGGCATTTATAAAGTGCCAATTCAACCAGTACCGTATTGGCCCGAATATAAGATGACCCTGACTATAAGACGGCCCCCTCCTTTTTCAAGACTCAAGTTTGAAAAAATACTTTTTGAACACCAAATTAATTTTTATACAGAAAATAATGACAGTACATCTGAAACAAATGATTATAACAATATATTTGAGAGAAAGAGCATGTAATTTTGTCTCATTCAAATCTAAAGTGCAATCACATTTGTAAATGAATGGCTTCTGGTTTTTGAAATGTAAATTACATCATAACTTCTCCTCAGCTGCCGGTTAACCTGGCCGATCTTCGACCCACTTTTCTCCAGATTGTCGCTACGTTTCTCCATTTTCTGTTATCTCTTCTATTATTTTCTTCTCTTTTCTTTCTTACCTCCATTTTAATTTTTCTTCTTCGTGCTACCGCTATTTTTATTTTTCTTCTTCGTGACAGGGGTTCACTTTAGCCTGGGGAGTCAAGTTCAGCATTCGCTTCAATGATATCTGGCGCCATCTAGCCTCGTGAATGGGTATAATGCCTAGACCCTGAATATAAGACGACCCCCACTTTTTCAGTCTTATTTCAATGCAAAAAACACTGTCTTATATTCGGGCCAATACGGTAATTTGTAATTCTGCTAAACGGAAGAAAATAATTGAAATATACTCAGAATAGTACTAAAACGGCCCTTGTGTTGTTGTGTATTATTTTCTTTGCAAAAGGCACAATATTGACGTAGCCCGTATGTTCAGATGCACCAAATATTTTCACCAGTGAGTGGGCGTCTTTAGCAATCTACAAATTTGTAATGAGAGACAAAAAGTAGAGCACAATGCAGTTGTGGTGGAGGAAGCACGCTTTCTATTAACATGCATTCTTAATGATCCAATCACAATTTGAACATCAGCCTTTTGTTCAGCTTTGCTAAAAGCCCCGGAGGGAAATTTAACCATTTACAAGCGTGAATCGCATGTGTGGCTGTTTTGTGTGTAGCGGGTGTCATGCTAGTTCCTGAGGCTTGTACCGAGAATGGATTTGAACTGCACTTTGGCGTGAACTATCTGGGCCACTTCCTGTTAACCTGCCTGCTCCTGGACACATTGAAGCTCAGCGGCAAATCTGGCAACTTCTCACGGGTGGTCAACGTCTCCTCCTCTGCGCACCGCAACGGCGAGATCCGACTCAATGACTTGAATTGCAGGTAGCTTCTGGCGCAATTAGCATTTTTTTCTTCCCTCCCTCTGCCCCCTCTAGCATGTCAAATACAAGCAGAGACGCGTGTAAATGTCTGACCGTGTTCTCCCTCTGCAGACAGCGCTATTCAGCCCACGCGGCTTATTGTCACAGTAAGCTGGCGCAGCTCATATTTAGCTCCCACCTCCACCGGGAGCTGGAGCAGGGAGGTTTTCCCGTGAGCTCCTGCGCTGTGGATCCTGGCATGGTGGATACGTCTCTCTACCGCCACCTCTGGACGCCCCTGCGCCTGGCACACGGCCTTGTGTCCCGCTTGCTTTTCAGGGTAGGAACCCGCGCACCCATATGGTAAAACCGGATTCATTTATCGTTCGAGATGCATTCCAGGCCCAGTAGGTGAAAATATGCGTGATGTCAAAGAAAAAGGAAAGTGCTAGAAGAAATCAAGGCAAGGCCGTTCACTGCAGGCCGTTCACTTTGCGTTAAATTTGAAAACGACCCTCGCGTAGCTTGAAGCTGAAGCCACAGGCTGCCGTTACTGTTGGCGGGATTTAATGTAAGGAGACTCGTGTGCGTGTTTGAACTCAAACTGCAATTGTCACAGGGACTTGCCTGTGAGCGCAACCTTTGGGAGCGCATTCATCACACACACTCATGCACGCCAGTCGTTAACACGGAGACACACGCGTACACCATTCGCGCCAGCATTGCAACGCGCAAACAGATTTTCTCGCCTGTCGTAACCTCTTAGCATCTCAAACGGTAAGATTTATGAGAATCGCGATGCATTCAAAGAAGCCGGGGTTTTATTTGTCATCCACTCATTAACCTGAAGAAAAGTCCCGGCTATGGTGTTTACATGCCACATCATTCAAACTAAACAGAGAGTGATACGTAGGAGCAAATAATATGATTGTTTACTGTACGTGGTAGCTGAAGCGAGAAAGTCAGCGCACGGTGACAGCCTGGTTGAAACGTTCGCCCTGGCGTAATATAAGATCGACTTCATTTAAATTATTGCAATAATTGTTTGTCATGCGTGCACAGAGTTGTGCTCTCCATACAGCAAATAGGAATAATTAGCTGCCTTCAAATTAAACAACGTGACCTATTTGCAGTGTTTCAAAATGAGCAAGAAGGGACCTGAGAATTTAAATGTTGGTTCTAAACGTAATTACGGTATCGTGACTTCAAAATAAAACAATGTCTCAGAAGCAGTAATTGTGTTACACCTTCCACATCGAAGTCAAAGCACTTCTGGGTATTTAGAGTATGTATTTGCATTCCACAGACTCCTACAGAGGGTGCTGCCACAGTCTTGTACGCTGCTCTGTCACCAACACTGGAGGGCAAGTGCGGAGGAGGCTACTGGGCCAACGGACGCAGGGACGCGACAACGCCGCTGACGTTTGACCCTGAGGTTCAGCAGCTCCTGTGGGAAACCAGCCAGAGGCTTCTGGTTCCACAGTAACTCCAATTGCATTGTGCCAATCAGCTTCTTTATCTTTAATTGTTGCCATTTCTGTTGACAATCTCACAATCCACCCCCTGGGACCGGAGACTATGATTGGCTGGCCACATTTTTTTCTTCGCTCCCGCCAAAGAAGGGCTACAGTGAACGGACGACTTTTTTCCCCATTGTGAGCTAGCAAACAGTGCACATCCATTCTAGGCCATCTTCGTCAGTCCACGGTGGGCACGCTACGACACCTGCCTTAACAGCGCTCTCCTGGTCAATGAGGAGGTTGATGAACTTGACCCAACACTTTTGCATCTCAACAATGTGATCTGGAACAAAAACAACAAAAACCAAAAAAAAAAAAAAACAACCCAACCAGCTTATAGAAAGTAGATTTTGGCACACGGTTCTTTAATGTCAGTCAAAGTGTAGCGCACGTTCTGGATTTTTCCGAAGCGCCCTTGCGTTGGAGGCGCCAAGTGATGTCATCGCTGAGTTTTAACACATCAGTGATTCTTGGGTCATTCTGTGATGAGGCCCATTTTTCTGGCAGCACTTTGCTTATTAGTGCATTTCTTGTCTTGAAATAACCGCTTCTGAGTCTTCACGTTGTCCTCTTCTAGTCATGTGATTTGCTGTGTTTTTCAAAAAACTAACCCAACAACGCTTAGAAATCCAAACAAAAGACTTTCATGGCGATTTATAGCACTTGCCATTTCCACTGAAGCAGTGTTGTTTTTGTCACCGGTGACGTTGACAATATAATCTCATTGACGGCTCTTTCTTTCATGACAACAAAACGTCGACAAGCTAAACATGGCTCTTTGATGTTAAAATGATGAGACAAGACGGGACGAAAATGGCGGGTCTTCTGTCAGATTTTCAAAATCCCCCCCGCAGGTGGGCACTATCAAACCCAACTGATGTTCATTCAAAGATGAGGTACAAGTCCTCTTAACATATATTACACATATAATGTTACTTGACAATTGCTTGTGATAAATTTCATCTTAAACTTAAAGTTTCCCACATGACACCGGGCGCAAATGGACTGGAAGCTAGCTTCAAGCTCAAGTTAGCTTTGTTTTGCTAACGTCAATTCATTTGCTTATGTTTGTTAGCGACGACTTATGGCTGGGCAGTAAGTAATTATAATGGTTGTCTAACTTGTCATATTGACACACACACACACACACACACACACACACACACACACACACACACACGCACACACACACAAACAAATAATAGTACAGATGCTAGCCACGTGGTTAATTAGCTACCGTTTTGTAAAGACTGCAGTAAAAGCTTTTTGAGGTTTCATTGACTAAAGCTGGACTAAAATGATAACATATATAGACAACTAAAATGTGACTACAACTAATGAATATTTTTGTCCTAAAGACTAAATCCAAAATGGCAAAAACAACAGTGCACTGCAACTATATAGCTAGAAAGTAAGGTATTTTGGGGCAATAATCCCCCACCACCCTCCCTCTTCTGAAAAAGAGAAAAGGTATTGGTTTTGTTTAAGAAAAAAACAAAAAAAACCCAAAAAACCCCGAACAATTTTCCCAAAACAGGATTTGTGCCGAGACAAAAATAGAAGAGAACGTGAAACAATGGCCGCTTCAGTCTGTCCTCATTTTCCTTTGTGCCCTGTGTTAATCCGTTTTATGTGAATTGTGAATGTGCTCATACACAAGTCCAAGATGAACTTGAGTTTTTTTTATATTGATCGTTTGCACAACCGTGGCGAGATCTTAGGGATCGAAGAAGGGCAAGGAAATGGAAAAGCACTTTTGGGTGTTCAATATTCAAGCTGTGATTGGCTTCTTTCTGCTTCCACATCTTCATTTGGCGTTGCTCCCAGTGCATTGTGGGAGCGGAGATTTCCCAGTGGTAGAGACACAAGCTCCATCAGCTAAGCTCATGCACACACACACACACACACACACACACACACACACACACACACACACACACACACACACAGTGATTCATAAACATTGGAGAAAGAACATCCAGGCACAGTTCTCTCAACAAGCACACAGCAAAGAAAAACAACTGTCGTTGGCCACTGTGATCTAACATTTCGACTGTGAAAAATGGAACATTTTATCTCGCAAACCATCACCCATCGACACGTGCGTTATGACCACCACTCTTGATGATGCTCATCTTACATGTGAACGAGTATGATTAATGTGAAGCTAATCGCCTCAAAGTAGAGAGATGCACCGTCCTTTTTGTTCCCAGGAACTTGTCTGTCTACACGTTTAAGAAAATAGGATCTCCCAAAAAAAAAAAAAAAAGTCACACAAAATTCTTTGGAATTTGGGCGTGTTTGGTTGTTCAACAATTCATTTTTTACAGTCGTGTTGCCTGGCGCCACCACTCGTACTCGTGACAGCTTTCGGATCAGCATCTTATGGACTGAGCGCGATAGATGACCTTGCGTGTCCTCCAAACAGCGGGATCAAATGCCAAGGCGGCCTGGCTTTTGGAGAGCTTTTTACGCAGCACACGGATCGTATTTTCGGGGGTGCGGGGATACTAGCGAGTGACGCAGAAGAACCTTCTTCGTCATTCAGCTCAGGCAAGACATTTGCTTGCGCGAGGGTTTGAATGACAATGTAGCTCCTCAACCGTTAAATTAGGCTTTGATTAGCTTCGAATGACAGAGCTGAGCTGATACGGGTATCCATACGGATTGATTTATTTGGATTAATTTGTCTTCCGCTTTATTTTTCAGGTATGCCAGCATGTTCACAGCTTGCACTCGTAAGTTGTGGACTGTGGCACGGCTTTATCAAAGGAGCAGGTGGTGGGGGAGGGGGGCGCGCATACTTCGGGCTTGAATATTTTTTTCAGCTTGAGTCAAGGTGAATTGTTGTAAGTGTCGGCCAGTTTTGAGTTTTAGAATTTCACCTTTCAGCATACTGTGCATCCACAAAAAAAAAAAAAAAAAAAAAAGAACTTCATGGGAAGAATTTTAAAGTTTTGGAACTGGCTCAGTGAGACCTCCATCAAATTGTAAATGTTTGGGGTCGGAAAAGAACACGCATTGAACTTGAATTTGCCTTTTGTTTGTTCACTCCTCAATCGGTATTTTTAATGAATCTGATCGGATGAATCGAAGCAGGTCTCTCGTGAAATAACTTCATTCTCCTAACTGGAACGATTTATCTCATTTATCTTTTTGCCGGTTCGTGTTCTACTGTTTAATAAAGCATATGAACGAAAGTTCATTTTTGACATCCTGATTTGAGGCAAGCCTCTTTTCAGTTGTTTTTTCCAAGTCATACATTTTTCTGCTCGTGAGCCTTTTTCTTCTTTGTTTTCCATCCTCATTTTCTCAGTCTCGCCTCGGAAAGGAACAAAGGTTGTAACTTGCGGGCTTGCTTGTTTGATTTTGTGGCTCCTATTGTTTTTAAGAGGCTGCCTAAATAACACAACAGCCACGCTAGGTCCCATTGGAGCAAATAAACCTTCATCCACCCGCGTTTCAACGAAGCCTGTTCCTGAGCATTATTTGAAAAGCATTCGAGATGGTTACGTAAACTAAATCCGGTTTTAAAAAATGATCATGTTTTCCTACTTGTTTCTTTTTTTTTTTTTTTAAAGGCATGACTGACACCAGTGCTTCGTTTTGAGCCCATTCTTATCCTAAGAAGAGTGGAAGATGATGATGAGGCTCTGTTGTTGTTATTGTCAAAACCCGATGACCTTGTTGCAACGCGACATGTAGCGCCGTCTCGAGTGTGTTCGACACGGACAGGACAAAACACGTCGGGTGTTGAATTTCAAAGACCAAATGAAAAAGAGCAGCAAGCGCTCAAGTCGACGGTCTGTGATCATGTCCCTGTGTGCCCTACTCGTCTGTCATCGTTTCAAAACATTGCCGAAGGCTATGGACCGGAGAAGCTCTTTCTAGACTTCTTCTGATTGACCTGGAGTTACATTTATATTAAATGTTCCCGGCTCAAGTTGTGTAAATCATAATTGTGTATATGTATAGGAAGAGAGAACATATAATTGTATACAAGGGGCAGCCAGATGAACTGAATCCCTCCTCTGCAGACATTTTAGTGTCTCCTGTCTCCTTCCGTTCTCTCCTTTGGTGTTCAATCTGGTGCACACGATGTTTGCGTGCTTTCCTCCGCAAATCCAATGTCAACATTCAGTCCATCTGGGCCCCTGTTGATTTTATGAGAAGTGTAAAAAAAAAAAATTAAAAAAAAGGTTTTATTTTTGAACATGATTTCGATGTTGGGTTCTTTTATGCTTTTTGTTGCCTTGTAAAAGCAAATCTTCCTCCGAATTGTGCAATTGTGACTTTTCCATGTAGAAATGAACTTGTTAAAACTGTGAAACTGTCTTGTCCTGTGCGTTGCTGTAACTCCTGAGAGTGTGTGTGCGCCTGTTTGTTTGCGTATCTCTCGAAAAGGGAGTCCATGTTTTGTTTCGGGTTTTGTTTGTTTTTGTTTTTGTCGATAGTTGTGACATTCCAGCAGTAGCCGCCACCTTTTTTATTATCCAAAGCCTCTCAATAAACATATCATGGTGTCACTCTCCCTCTCCGTCCTTGACAATGTGTGTGAGAGAGAAACTTGTCAGTCTGATGACACGCGGCATGAGACGCTGCTGAGCCCGAGGCGCAGTCTGAACTTCAGCACCAGATCGCACACCATCAGGCTCTCATTTGCTATAAGCGCACCGGAGTGAGCTCTTCCTCATCTTCAAGTAGCGCATGCAACTGTTCCAGATAGTCCCCTCTGCCGGTGATCTAAGCAGAGTTATATGGACTGGACGTTTAAGATTACGCAGGTCAACTGATTCAGAAGCAGTGCAAAAAAAATTTAAAAATTGAAAAATTTACTTGGCTCTCTGATATCTTAAAAAAAATAAATAAAAATGTGTAAGCAGTGTTAATATTGAGATTATTTTAACGTCGAAATACGGTGAAACGTACACAAAATCGGTAAGTAGAAAGATAAACACTTCTCCTCGCAGGCTTGTATTGAGGTGCTAGCCATGATGGGTGCATCAAGTTCTCAAAGATTGATTCTACCCTGATCTGCTCAGAAAATAGTCGGAGCCGACAATCATGAGTGTGAAATCTGTTCCATGTTTCCAACTGCCAATTCCCCACATCGAGCCACAGACAAGACTCCGTGATTGTTAAAGGAAATGGAATGAAAGCCAACTAGAAGTCAATTTGAAGCCTGCGTCGAGGTGGGAGGCATTCAGCGCAATAAAAATGACAATGAAAAGAGTTCACCTACAGCGTAATGGAGTAGTTACTGTATGTTGTTTTGTCATGTAGTGGCTAGCTAGACTAGTTAAGATAGCTTCTAGCTAAGCTAGCGAGGCTTCTATTTCTTTGACTTCTTGTTGGGACCCTGTTGAAAAAGTTGTATATGTGGAGTACACTTTATAAATTATGTTCAAGTATAAGTCTATAAAGTCTACTTTTTCATATTATATTGGAACATATTACATTTTAAAAGGATAGTGTAAGTATCTGTCCATATACTTTTCACTATACTGTAATCCAAGGGTACTTAAGCATACTTCTGTGACATTTATAGAAGTATCGTATTTAAAAAGTACACTTAACGTATACTGCCTCCAATTAA